CGATTTCAAGGTTGACTTGCCGGGAGGGCTTCTGGCCCTCGATACGTGGAGCGAGCCCTGGTGTCAGCTCTCCTGCGCCCTTGTACTATCGGGGCCTCCTGGCAAGGCCGTCGGCTCGCTCCGAAAACTCTGTAAAAGAGAACAGTAGTAAGAGGGCTCCGTGATGGAAGAAAAAGAAAGAGTAATTACGTGACCTATGCTCCCGTCTGGCGCTGAGTATGTCTCGGTAGTCTCTCGTCTTTGGAGTCCTCGTTGCTTGGAGTCGGTGAGACGACGCTTTAATACAATCTCTTCCGAGTAGTCGCTATCTCTTGCTTATTTCGATCGGTGCAAGGCCTAACGGTTTAATCCTACTACAAAATGTTAGTCGCGGAACATGACCAAATCGCAGATGCGCTCGCCCTCGAAAATCGGAGGACGCAGGATCCACTTAGCCGTTACGGTCGGGCTAACGAGCCCTTGTGACGGACGTTGTCGAAAAACGTCACGTCACATATATTCAAATTATTATAAAACTAGAATTATTACACTTATAGAGTCGTAATATATATATACATATATTACGACTCTATAAGTGTTTTAACACAATAGATTGAGGGAACGCCAATAAATGATTATAGCAAGATCTTGGTGCTTCTAATATCCTTATGTAAATTAGATTACAGTGTAGCGGTACGCTTACAATTATGCACGCGCGTTCGGCCCGCGCGCCGAGCCCGCGCGCGCCCGCCATGTGACGAGAGTGGTGCGCGGCGCCGCCGCTAGGCGCCGCAGGCGCCGCGACAAATCTCGTAAGAGAAAAACACCCACGCGCGGTATATGTAGGACTCCGTGGGAGGTCCTCAGCCTGATTCCTCGCTTCAGGATAACGTGAGCTTACCTCGTAGGCCGTTATCCTGAAGCACCTTGAGTCCTCGTAACCTAACAGAGCGAGCTTGACCCTTTTGCGATCGAAAGGAAGCGGGAGTCCCGGCCTTTCGATCGAAAAGTTTTACCAGGCCTCTGTCTCCTTCCTCTGCCTCCTTCCTCTGCCCATCCGGGCGAAG